AGGAGAGGAATAAGACAATCTGCTTCTGTCAAAATTTACAGTCTTGGAAACCCTATGGGCAAGTCCTAAAGGGTCACTACAAGTTGGAATCAACTCGATGGCAGTGGGTTTGGTTTTGGTTTTAGGTCTATAATCATATGGTTCAGATTTTTTTCCTATGGGAAAGATTCCTACCTACTATATATTCATTAGGTAGTTCTAATTTTACTAGAAAAACTCTAAAATAATTCAATTTATAATTTTAGTCTAAAAAATAAAATGTAAAACATTATTTCTTCCTTTGTTGAATTAGGTTAGAGTAGACTTGTTAGGAAACAAATTAGACAAGAGTAAGTAATTCATAGTTGAGGATACACTTATTCAATCTTTTAATACCTCCTTGATTTGGTGGTGTAGTGCCTAACACATTTGACTGCTAACCAGAATGCTGGCAGTTCAAACTCACCAGCCACTCCTCGGAAGGAAGGTTGGGCAATCTACTTCTGTAGTGATACCACCTCGGAAACAGAAGGAAGGGTGGCTATGAGTCGGACGACTGGATGGCAGTGAGTTTTTTTTTTTTTTAGGGGAGTGAGGGGTGGAGGTTTGATTTGTTCCTAAACTTAGGTAATATTTCTCAAAGTGTAGTCTACAAATTACTGGCTAGATTGAACAAAAACCAATGTTTACTACTTGATTCAAAGTACAACTGATATATTCAAGATAATTTTAATGAAAACTCATGTTTGTCATCTACTTTTAAATAAAATCACTATTTTAAAGATGATTATAAAAAACCCAAGTACAAAAAGCTATGTAAAGAAAATGCCTTTTTTGAAAATAATCTCAATGAAAACCCATGAATATCACTTAATTTGGAGAAAAAACTACTACATTCAAGCTACTTTTTATGAAAACTAATGTATCTAATATTTTAAATATTCACTTTCAGACTTTATGTAAAATGCAGATTTCTAGACTGTATCTCACCAGCCACTCCTGGGAAGGAAGGTTGGGCAGTCTACTTCCATAGCGATACCACCTCGGAAAACCAAGGAGGGGTAACTATGAGTCGGCTCCAACTTGAGCTTGGTTTTTGCTAGCTTTTAGACTATATCTACTGAGTAGGAAAATCTGGGAGTGTAGTTTGATGTATACCTAAATTGAAGAACTAACGGATTAAGAATAGATTGTTAAAAAGTTTTCCCATTCATATTCAAGTCTTTTTTTTTTTTTGCAATAAATTTCATTTAAAATTCAGTAGCCCCTAGGTAAGAGTCACTGTGATCTTAGCAGTCATTTACAGGTTAGCAAGAACTGATTATCTAAGAACTTGCATTAAAAAAAAAAGAGACAGGAGAGTGTAAAGGACTTAGGTTCCTAGGATGAATGGAACTTCCTCAAGGGAGGAAGTGGGCACAGAGGGAGGAGGAAGCTATCAACTTGATGATTTTTATACTTCACAACTAAGTGTGGCAATTATGCACTGAATATGATGAAATTTTTATCTCAAAGATGTGTATAATTACTTCCTGAATGATCACTGGAATAAGTCTATTAAGCATTGAAAGCTAAGTATGTGTCATATATATTATTTGGGGTTAGTTGTGTTACCTCTAAATATTAATCAATAAAAATAAAAGATTTATTGAGTGCCAATTGTGTGTATAATATTATGCTTTAAGTTAATGGTTTTCAAACTTTATTACACATTAGAATCAACTAGATATCCCTAAAACACTATTGTTATCTTGACCCAACTTCAAACTAATTACTTAGAATTAGAATTACCTTTATAATTTCTAAAGGTATAATCTAGAAATTCTACTGTAGATTCACAGATACCAGTTTGGGCCCATTTACCTTGGCATTGATTTTAATACTTGTGGAAGAAAAAGATGATCTTAGAGTGTGATGGGGGAGCTCTGGTAGCATAGTGCCTAAGGCACTTGACTGCTAACAAGAAGGCTAGCAGTTCAAACCCACCAGCCACTCCTGGGAAGGAAGATGGGGCAATCTACTTCCGTAGTGATACTGCCTCGGAAACCCAAGGAGGGGTCGCTATGAGTCGGGTCCGACTTGACGGCACATAACAACAACAGAGTGTGATACTCTAGGTGGAAAACCACTTTTCCAAACCAGACTATGTTTTAAGATGTTTGATAAATTTTGCTTACTGCCCACATGACCCAGGGAGAAATATTTATCTAGAAGGAAGCAATATTTGTGAACCAAGATTTATTAACAGGGCTTTTATAAATGATCACATTATATATACCATTGCACGATTTCTTCTGATTCTCATACTCACTACGTGAAGTCAGTAGTGTTATCTTCATTGTATAAATAATGAAATTGAATCTCAAACAAGTTAAAAATTTACCCCAAGCCATAATGATAAAAGTACCATTGTTTATTGAATGGCTTCTATCTGCAAGGCAGGTTATAAGATGTTTTGCACATTATTACTAAATGAGACACTCTTTATCATAACAGTGTTCCCTGGACTATGATCTGTGGAACTCTGCTCTATCAAGATGTTTTTTGGGAAAAAGTTCTGTAATCTATCTAATAGATTCGGGAAACTCTGAATGCTTTAACATTTTGTTGGGAATTTTCAATGTGTTAGAACATATTAAACATACAGAGATATCTTGCAGTAAAGGAATGTTTAGTGTGGTGCCCCAGGGGTCATTTAACCATAGAAATCTTATTTGATAACACTTGCCAATGGGACCTATTTTGCTTCCTCAAAACACACTTATACTCTAGAAATTATGCCTCAGTATTATGTATCAAGACTCCAAGACTCAGAAATCCAGTAACTTGCCTATAGTCATTCAACATGTGGCTGTACTAGAATTTAAACCTAATTTTGCCTGATTGAGAAAATTCTTTTCTGATTCTAAAGTCTATGACTCCAGGTCATTGAATCTTTTATGCCCTTTTCTTTGTCAATAAAACTGAAATAAACATGTTGACAAAATTGAATATGACATTGTGTGTTAGAATTTGGTAGTATAGTGTCTAAAGTAGGACACAAATGTTATTTATTTATTTATTTGTTTATTGGAAGGAATTATTTCTTTCTCCAAATCTCTGAATTACATTTACAAAGTATGGTCTCTGTAGAAAGGCTTGTTTTGTGAGTTATTGTTAACTACAATCGTCTACATGTCATCAATCACTCTTGAAATATTTGGTAGCACTTTGGTTTATTAAATAATCTATGGGAAAATGAACGTATGTAATTTGTGGTTTCTATATATTGAATCAATGAAATATGAAACTGAGAATAATGCAATATATATCCTAACATTTGATTCTATTAATTATGAACATATGAACTGTGATCTAGGGCAAAAAGTATGTTGCTTTTATTTCAATAACAGTAAATAAATGGTAGTGTAATTTATAGATATACTCTTAACAGTACATTTATTTAACGCAGAAAGCAAGGCTGAGAAACAATCTAGGCAAGAATCAACTGTCCTGAACATGCTCTACTGGGGAAATATAGAGTTGATTGGAGAGATCTGAAATGCAAAAATTGGAACTTATTTTAAAGCTAAGCAAAGAGAAGGCAAAATGCTACATGATTGCACAGATGGCTTAGCTCTACTTCTGAGAAATGCATTTTGGGAGATCACTTCATGTGTCAAAAGGTAATCCTATTAAGGAGAACAAAGACCAACTGATCCCATATTGAAGGAAGATGAAAGGCATCTTCAATTCCCCCACTCACTGTGTAGAGGAAATAGGTCCAGGGGGATGAGCAGACATCTCCAACACAACAAATTAAGTATGCTGTGGGCTCTCTATGTCTCCAAGCTGAGTTACAGTGGGCATTATTTACAGCACTTTGAATGCAGGTGGAAAATAAATATACAGAGGTCTGTAACTAATGTGTATGGAAATTCCTTCCTCTATTTATTTTCTCCCCTTGCTTTTGCCTCACAAAACATTTGGAATGAATTAATAATGGCAAAAGATCCAGAGAAATGAGTGTCGAAGTGACAGTGCTCAGGAAAGATTGCTGTAAGAACAATACTCTATCCTGGGTGAGTGGGAAGGAGAATGAAATAACTAACATCTTGTGAAAAGATGTTCTTCAAAGCAACAAATGAGGGCATGTGGGAAGATGCAATGGATTAATTCATAGCTCAAGACTTTGCTTGGAGCTTGAAGGGAATAATATACAGCTTGAAAAAAAAAAAATCATTGTTCCTTAAAGACTCTGAGCATATTATCGAGCTGAACTTGGAGAAGATTGTGAAGCCCTATAAGTAAGTGTGATTTGAGAGCCTGATGTTAATGAATTTCTACCTGGGGACCACTTTTGATTGTGTTGTGCCTTGGTGAGTGATGTCCACCTTAGCTAATGTTTTTCTGTGACACCAAAGGTGTTGATTAGTTTTCTTCCTCTGGATCCTGTGCCTTTGAATCTTTAAAATCTAAGGCATTTTTCAATCTTTGTCTAAATAATACATTTTAAATAATGGAATAAATTTGAAAGGAAATTAACATTGTTATGAAGTTGCATGCTTATTGGAAAGATGGGCTTGAGACAGTTTGAAAAGTGTGTGGATCTGCAGAGTATATGGGACAAGGAGAAGGAAAGAGGAGGGAAAGAATTCACAAAGATGAAAAGAATGCCACACAATCAGCACTTTGTTTTCATGTTTTGCACTTTTTAAAGTCTGGATCTTCTTTTTCAGGAAAGAGTTGCTTATTTTTAATGCAAGAAGATAAAGCTAAGATTATTCCTTGGGACTGATCATTCTCTTCATGGAGTAGCAGTACATACACATATGTAGGAGTGTATGCCCTAATATGCCCCCATTTCCACACAAATGTACATCTGTTTCCAGCATATTGAGTTCAACATGTAGAGTACATGAGTTTGCTATTCTAAAGGGGTTGGGAATTATGGCTATTTATGCTTAGTAGATACAGATATCATCAATAACACTGATTAGCAGGAATAATTTCCACCAGGCACGTCATTTTGTTTATTTGTTTTTTAACTTATTATACAGTATGAACTGAGGACTGTGTCCGAATCCCTCTCTCCTCTCGAATTAATTTGCCACACTCTAAATCCGTAGATAAAGTAGTTCCAGAAGTGGAGTTGGTTGGATGGGTTTGCTTACACTGTAGTCCATAAAAGAAACAAAAAGCCTTGCATGCAAAAGAAATGAGAAAAAAAATAATGAAAAAATGAGTAAGTCAGAAAAAAAAAAATGAATGTTTAAGTGAAAGTTAAAATCAAATGAAGCTGGAAATTATGAGAAGCACATTAAAACATAACGTATACAAGCTTTTATTTTCAAATTAGTTGCATAAAACAAGACACCTCAAGAGAAAATTGATAGTTAAAACAAAGCAGATCAGCCCATTCTCCCTTTTAATTGAATGTACTTTTCTCTAACAAGGTCTGGGAAAGAGGTACTCAATGTTTTCACGATTGCCTTGTAATTCTAGGGAAGAATTTTTGATGATGAGAAACCAGATTCTAGTCAATCATTACCAACTTTGGATGTTTGAAAAATGTATCTACTTAAACAAAGTAAGACTAGTATCAGATTATTAATCTCACTATATAATTTGCAGGGCCAATGCAAAATTAACATGTGGTGGCCCCAGTTGAAAAATTTTAAGAATATGAAGACAGGGGTTAGTAGAGGGTTATATCAAATAGATACCCCATGCAACTGCCCAGGTTGCATGCCCTGTTACTAGTTTATGGTCTCAATATTCTAACACTATCTTTAAATTGAAAAGGTGTTCTAATGCATTGCAATGGCCATCAGATTTGTCCTATATTCATTAGAGTATGCTTAGGAATAATAATCTTTAATCAGAACCGTTTTATTCAGATGAATGTTAGCTCCTGATGTAACTTGTTTTAAAAATAGAAAGGAAGAGTCAACAGTAGATGATTGTTGAAGTCATTCTATAGTCCTGAATGCAGTTTTGAAAAATAAAGTCTGTAATATACTTTATTGTCATTTTCTATTATTTATCATATTCCTGCCCCTCTAACAGACACACACACAAAAAAAACTTTTGAGTGAATTATCCTTTTACAAATCATATTTTGATAGAGAGGAATGCTCCATTTCAAAATATTACTTTTATGTCTGTATGTAATTGGTTTTGCATTAGTATCTGTGCTTGACATTTACACTTCAGAGGCAGAATCATTTCTCTCAAAAGTTCTTTTTATATCTTTTCTAATTTTGGATTTATTTCTTGTTTGGTCTATCTAGGGTTTCTATCTTTAGAACAAATAACTGTGTAAGAAATTAAGTGAGTTTGGAATTTCTGCACAGTCATTCCATGAAGCACTAATTGGATTTAGTGTATAAGGCCCTTCATTCTTCTTCTCAATAAATGATGGATTTGCGTGCCAGCAGCACCAGCAGGGATTCAATAGCTCTTCACTCTAACTCAAAAATGACTCTCTGGGCATCTAATTCAATAGACTTTTATGAAATAAGGGCAAATAACCTTAAAAACCTAAAACTTATGACAGATAACACCAAAACAAACTACCCAGGCCTAGAAAGAGATGACTCACCTGTTCGATATCATTGTTCTTCCTTGATTTGTATATAAATTCTCCAATGGCTACAAATACAGAAAGGACCAATCCAGCGGCCAGGACAATGAAGATGCCCCCTATATTTTCTACTCCCAGAGCACTGGCCTCTTTGCTGTCTTCCTCAGGGCAGCCATTGCCTCTCCACCACTTCTCTTTCATCATATGCAGCTTCCCTTCTTCTTGTAGTTGAAGAATAGCAATCGTAATTTTATCCCGGTAAGGAGAGCCTGCAAGGAAGGTCATTTGGATATTGGTCACCCAAAGACTGGAAAGCATCAAAAAGTATTACTATCTTGTTGTTTGTTCTGTGCCGTCGAATAGGACCCGACTCATAGTGACCCCTTCTTGGGTTTCCGAGGCATATCTTTACAGAAGTAGGTTGTCCAGCCTTCCTTCAGAGGAGTAGCTGGTGGGTTTGAACCACCAGCCTTCTGGTTAGCAATCAAGTGCCTTAGGCATCATGCTACCAAAACCAAAAACCAGTTGCTGTCAATTCGACTCCAACTCATATGTGTCAGAGCAGAACCATGCTCCATAGGGTTTCAATGGCTGTTTTTTTTTTTTTTCCTTCAAATAGATCACAAAGCTTTTCTTCTGAGATGTCTGTTGGTGGATTTGAACGTCCAAACTTTTGTTTAACTGCTAAGTGTATTAAATGGTTATTGTGAAACTTCAATCCACAAACTGACTGGCAAAGGGCAGCCAAGTTGAATCCTATGTTCTGAAGTCTCTAAATAATTGGAAAAATGATAGCTGACATTTTGAGATTAACTCTGGCCCAAAGTGTCTATTCCTATTACAAAATAAAAGCTAAACTGGAACTTCTGTGTCATAACTCTGCCTGTTGGTGAGTTCTTCATGAGTCTGGCAGTATTAGGGGATTTCATTGTTTAGATCCTACTTTTTCTAGGCTGTTGGTTGTTTTATATTGTGCCAGAGCCTGGCTAAATGATCACCAGTGCTGTTTCATCTTCTCCCTAAGTGAATAAACATTTTCCAGATCTTCTGTAGTTCATTGTAGTGCAAGACCAATGACTTCCACCAAAATGTGGAATCTTAGAACCAGAAGAGATCTTAGGAATTATTTACTCTAGTCCACCCACTGTAGAATTGAAGAGATTTCTGACCTGACATTATGAGTGGAATTAATAGTTACTGGCAGAACCAAGAATCAAACTCCATTGTCTCAAATTCTATCCTAGAGTTATTTGCATGACCTATGCCTGACCACTACTCAGCTGTCAGTTTGTTGTATTGTGGTGGCTTGTGTGTTGCTGTGAAGCTCGAGGTTATGCCACCAGTATTTCAAATATGAGCAGGGTCACCCATGGTGGACAGGTTTCAGTGGAGCTTCCAGACTAAGACAGGCTTGGAAGAAGTAAGAGGACATCTATTTCTCAAACAACTGGCCAGTGAAAACCTTACGAATAGCACTGAAACACTGTCTGATAAAGTATTGGAAAACTTTATGAATAGCCCTGAACTTTGTCAGATATAGTGCTAGAAGATGAGCCCCTCAGATTGAAAGGCACTCAAAATAGACTGCGAAAGAGCTGCCTCCTCAAAGTAGAGTCAACCTTAAAGACATGAATGGAGTAAAGCTTTTGGGACTTCCATTTGCTGATGTGGCATGACTCACAATGGGAAAAAAGAGCTGCAAACATCCATTAATAATTGGAACATAGAATGTACAAAATATGAATCTAGGAAAATTGGAAGTTGTCAAAAATAAAATGGAATGTATAAACATTGATGTTCTAGGCATTAGTGAATTTAAATAGACTCATTTTAGCCATTTTGAATCAGACAACCATATGATCTACTATGCTGGGAATGACAGATTGAAGAGAAATGGCATGGCATTCATCACCACAATGAATGTTTCAACATCTGTTCTGAAGTACAATGCTGTCAGTGATAGGATAATATCCATATGCCTGCAAGGAAGATCAGTTGATACTGCAATTATTCAAATATATGTACCAACCACCAAAGCCAAACATGAGGAAATTGAAGATTTTTGCCAAATTTTGCAGTTTGACATTGACCATACATCCAATCAAGTTATGTTGTTTATTACTGGTGATTAGAATGCAAAGGTTGGAAACAAAGAAGAATCACCAGCAGGTGGAAAATATGGCCTTGGTAATAGAAATGACACAGGAGATCACATGATAGAATTTTGCAAGACCAATGACTTATTCATTGTAAATAGTTTTTCAACAACATAAACAGCAGCTACACTTGTGAACTTTGCCAGATGGAGTACACAGGAATCAGATTGACTACATCTGTGGAGAAAGGACATGGAGAAGCTCAATATCTTCAGCCAACACAAGACCAGGAGCTGACTGTGGAACAGACCATCAACTGCTCATATGCAAGTTTAAGTTGAAGCTGAAGACAATTAAAACAAGTCCACAAGACCCAAAATATGGCCTTGCTTACATCCCACCTGAACTTAGAGATCATCTGAAGAATAGATTTCACACATTGAACACAAATGACAGGAAACAAGATGAATTGTGGGATGACATCAGGAACATCATAACTGAAGAGAGCAAAAGGCCATTAAAAAGACAGGAAAGGAAAGAAAGACCAAAATGGATGTCAGAAGAGATTCTGAAACTTGCTTTTGAATGGGGAGTAGCTAAAGCAAATGGAAGAAATGACAAGATAAAAGAGCTAACCAGAAAATTTCAAAGGGAAACTTGAGAAGATAAAGTCAATTATTATAATGAATTGTGCAAAGACTTGGAGTTAGAAAACCAAAAGAGAAGAACATGCTCAGCATTTCTCAAGATGAAAAAACTGAGGAAAAAAAATTCCAGCCTCGAGTTGCAATATTTAAACATTCTATGGGCAAAATATTGAATGATGCAGGAAACATCAAAAGAAGATGGAAAAAATACACAGAGCCATTTTAGGTTCAACCATTTTAAGAGGTAGCATAATTTCAAGAACCGATGATATTGAAGGAAGAAGTCCAAGCTGCACTGAAAGCATGAGCAAAAAAGCAAGGCTCTGGGAATTGATACAATACCCATTGAGATATTTCAACAAACAGATGCAGCACTGGAGGCACTCACTCATTATGTCTAGGAATTTGGAAGACAGCTACCTGGCCAATTGACTGGAAGAGATTCGTATTTGAACCCATTCCAGAGAAAGGTGATCCACAGATTGTGGAAATTATGGAACAATATCATTAATATCACATGCAAGTAAAATTTTTCTGAAGATAATTCAAAAGTAGTTGCAGCAATATATTGACAAGGAACTTTCAGAAATGGAAGCTGGATTCAGAAGAGGATGTGGAATGAGAGATATCATTGCTAATGTCAAATGCATCTGAGCTGAAAGCAAAGAATACCAGAAAGATGTGCACTTGTGTTTTATTGACTATGCAAAGGCATTTAACTGTGTAGATCATAACAAATTATGGATAACTTTGAGAAAAATGGGAATTCCGATAACTTAGTCATTCTCATGAGGAACATATACATAGAGCAGGAGGCTACTATTTGAACAGAATGAGGGTATACTTGTTGTTGTTATGTGCCGTCCAGTCGGCCCCAACTCATGGCAACCCCTCCTTGGGTTTCCGAGGCAGTATCACTACGGAAGTAGATTGCCCTGTCTTCCTTCCGAGGAGTGGCTGGTGGGTTTGAACTGCCAGCCTTCTGGTTAGCAGTCAAGAGGGTATACTGCATGGTTTAAAATCATGGAGGGAGTGATCCAGGGTTGTATCCATTCACCACACTTATTCAAACTGTATGCTGAGCAAATAATTCAAGAAGCTGGACTATATGAAGAAGAACATGGCATCAGGACTAGAGGAAGACTACTCAGTAACAACCTGTGATATGCAGATGACACAACCTTTCTTGCTGAAAATGAATATGACTTGAAGCACTTAATGATGAAGATTAAAGACTAGAGTCTGCAGTATGGATTGCACCTCAACATAGAGAAAATGAAAATCCTCACAATTGGGCCAATAAGCAACATCACACTAAATGGAGAGAAGATTGAAGTTGTCAAAGATTTCATATTACTTGGTTCCACAATCATCACCAATGGAAGCAGCAGTCAATAAATCAGATGACATACTACACTGGGAAAATCTACTGCAAAAACCCTCTTTAAAGTGCTGAAGAGCAAAGATGTCTTTGAAGATTAAGGTGTGGTTTACCCAAGCCATGGTATTTTCAGTTGCTTCATACACATGTGAAAGCTGCATAATGAGTAAGGAAGACCACCAAAGAACAGCTGATGTTTTTCAGTTGTAGTGTTGGCAAAGGATACTGAGAGAACCATGGACTGCTGGAAGACCCAACAAATGTGTCCTGGCAGAAGTGCAGCTGGAATGCTCCTAGGAAGTGAGAATGGCCAGACTTGTCTCACCTACTTTTGTCATGTTGTCAGAAAGGACCATTCCCTGGAGAAGGATATCATACTGGTAAAGTGGAAGGTCAGTGAAAAAGGAGAAGGCCCTCAACAAGACGGATTGATACAGTGGCTGTAACGATGGGCTCAGGTATAACAAGTATTGTGAGGCTAGCACAAGACTGGACAGTGTTTCGTTCTGTTGTACATAGGATCACTATGAGTTGGAGCTGACTTGACAGCACCTAACAACAACAACATATGCTTGATGTGCTATGGCATGGTTCATGTTAGAAAACCATAAAACAAAATCAACAACAACAACAAAATAAAAACCGTTGTTTCCCACTCATGGGTACTTCATGCATTTCAAGGTAGAAATGTGCTGCAGAGGGTTTTCAGTGGCTGTGATCTTTCAGGAGTAGATCGCAAGGCACTTCTCGGTGAATTCAAACTACCAAGCTTTTTGGTTAGTTGCTGAGCACTTAACCATTTGCACTCACCCAAGGACTCCCTATGTTAGAAAAGCAGATATCTAACAATTGTGGTCTTTGTCACTGTTCCTCCCCACTGCACCTTAAAGTAATTGTGGGCACTCAAAATCAAGTATAAAGAAGAACAAAATGCTTTGGTGTTAGATTATGGCTAACTTAATTAAGAGGATTTACAATGAGAAAATGGATCTTGAAAGCCAAATGAAAAGTTACTGGTTGCTTACTTAAACACTCCCAAAATAATGGTTAGTGTCCAAATTAGTACCATTATTTTATCTATAGTGTGTGAGCAATTAAGTCAGCCAGAAGAGCTTTGCTTTAATTCACATGAAAGTGCTTTGAAG